ATATATATATATATATATATATATATATATATATATATATATATACATATATATATATATATATATATATATATATATATATATATATATATATATATATATATATATGTATATATATATATATAAAGATATTAAAATAGTTAAAGTAAATTTTTTTATAAAAATTTATTTATTATAAAAAAAAATAGTAAAAAATATTATTCAAGAGTTGAATTAACTCCACTTTGTTAGATCATAAAATTATTCGAAAAAATTAAAACAAAAAAACAAAAAACTTTTAATTAACAAAAGTGATAAGTCTTGCTTGCTTAATTTGGTCCTTGCATATCAATATTAATATAATACTTTAAAGATAAACAAACTTTAAAGGTTTTAAATTAACTTATACTCGTGAGTGAATTTCAATTTACAAAAAGTGACTTGCTTTTAACTTTAGTCCATCTTTTTCAGGGTCTGTAGATACATAGTTATGAACATCAACTAGAGGGAAAAAATGAGTTTTTAACTTTCATTTCATTTTACACATTTTACATAGAAAATAATTAATAATAAAAATTCATTAAAATTAATTATAAAAGCATTTTAATACAATAATAAACAATAAACATTTCATTTTAATAAAAAACATTTCATTTTAATAAAAAACATTTCATTTTAATAAATTAAAAATTTTTTTTTTATGAAAATAACAACTATTTACTAAAAGAATGAATAACTCCTTTAACTACTGCAACTGAAGGTCGTTCACCCATACGATCTCTAAATACAAAATAAAAAATTTAATTTTTTATTTTTCATTATAATTAAAGTAAACTTTAATACTTCTCGCAACAAAATTACTGGTGCTTACTAAAATTACTTTCTTACAAACTTTTTAAAAATAAAAAATCAATATTATTTGCAAAAGCCTCGATTACAAATTTATGCAATAAATAAAAATTAACATAATATATATTATATAAATGTTGAGAAAAAAAAGAAATTAGTTTATATTAAATTATAGAAAAAAATGTAATATTAAATTTAATTTTTAAACATAAAAAAAATAAAAACAAAGTAATTACATAATATATTTACATAATACATTGATTTGTTTTTAATTGAGTTAATTTTTCAATTGAACTAATTTTGCAGTAATTTATCATACTGTGTTAGTTTAAAAAGTTGATGTCCATAAAAAAAATACAATAAAATAAAGAAAATTGATTTATGACATCAAAATTTACATTAAGCTAATGCATTAAGCTTTTTTTATTCAAAACTAAGCTTGTAACTGTTATATAACAACTCTCTTTAAATAATTTGAAGGAAGGATTGGTTGTTTACACTTTTTGTGAAATTTTAAAATTGTTTATATTAACAGTATTTTATTTTATTTTTATTTTTTTTTTGGTATGTATTTAGGTGCTCCCAGAAGTCCTTACACTCTTATCATAGAGCAACCCGGGTGAGCATTTAACAGGAACTTCATGTCTCCTTCCGTACCAATGTCGCTTGTTGGGCTAAAGCTGGCATCGAACCTCTGAGTTCTGAGCCAGAACTCTAACCACTGCACCACGGCTGCACATTTTTGTTTAAAGGGATTCCAAATATCAGAGACATGTGTTCATATTAAAGAGAATGATTAAAAAAAAATGTTAGGGATAGATTTTTTGATTAAAAAAAAAGAATAAAAACATACCAAGAAAAACTCATTTTTTTATTTTAGTCAAAGCTCACCTTCATTTTGTTGTAGGCCAAAAAGTCAGCATAATATACGCCACAATCTACAGACTTGAAAATTTATTCAAGCGGGCTTGAATAAATTTTCGGGCTTATTCCTAAGAGCTTCAGCAGATGACATTTTTTCATCGATTTTTTTGTTTGTTTACATAATCGATCTTTTACACAAACAAAAAAATCAATCACACCGTGTACTGAAACTCTTAAGAATAAAATGCGCTTTAATAAGTTACAAGGTCTGTAGATTGCAGCGTATACTATGCTAACTTTTTGGCCTATGACATAACAGAGAAAACAAGCTTTGACTAAATTCAGGCAATTGCTTGGACTATTAAATAGTGTACTGAGTACTATCTATACTTTGAGTCAAGTTCTTTAACAAATTTATAAATGACTAAAGTACAAATAACTATAAATTACAAAAAACCATTGTCATCACCAAGTTCTCTAAACCAATCATTCACGTCTGTAAAGTAACTTTTCTTTTGTTGAGTCTTATCTCTTGCAAAGTTCACCAGACCTACTTGCTATTTGTGAGACTAATTTGAGTTCGGCTGTCTCATCTTGTGATCTTAGTGTTGATGGTTATCTTCCTTTAATTCATAAAGACTCTGATAGTCACATACTTGGTCTGGGCATTTCCATTCATAAGAACTCACCCATTTGTAGGGAATCTAGGTTAGAATCCATGGACTATTCTTTGTGCTTTCGTTTAACACCCAACCCTTGAAATTAGGAAAAATGAGGTCAGCAAATTATTGGCATCAGGTCGGCAAAAATTATTTGATTCAAAGGTCTGACCATAAAACATAAAAACAAGGCCAGCAATTTTTTGCTGACCTCAAACACTTTCAGGTCGGTAGTTAGGTCAGCATTGCCGAATGCCAACCCTAATTCCGAGGGTTGAGCACCACTTCACTCTATTGCCTTTCTTTTTGTTCTATATCGCTCTCCTTCATCTCAAGACTGTACTCTTTTTGATGTTATTTCTGATCAAATTGACCAAGCCCTCATTCTTAATCTATCAGGCAATATCGTTGTTGTTGGTGACTTAAATGCTCATTACACTGAATGGCTTGGCTCTAGTATCAGTGACTCTGCAGGAATAATGAATTAAACAATTTCTAACTCATATAGTCAACTTTCAAACTCACTTTCCTGACTAACAGAGCCATTTACCTTCTCTACTCGACTTATGTCCTGTTTCTGATCCTAGTCAGTGCTCAGTTTCTCCACATTCACCCTTAGGTGCTTCTGATTACCATTTGATCTCTTTAAACTATTATCTCATTCTTCTTCATCATCATACCTTTTATCCCCCTATCATCGTACCTTTTACAACTACCTTAAAGCTGACTGGGACTCTTTCTGTGATCTTCATGATGGCCCTTGGGTAGAAGTCTTCCTGTTGACAAATGTGCTTCTTACATAACTTCGTAGATTCAGGCTGGCATGGAATCTTTTATTCTCTCTTGACAATTCGGATTCAAGCCTCAAACTTCTCCTTGGTTTTCCTTACAATGTGCTACTGCAATTTAAAATGGAGACCATTATTTCGATACCTATCAGCAAAACAATTATCCAGAAAACAGACGTCTATTTACTACTGCTAGAAACAATTGTAAAAAGGTTTTGTATTAAACTGAAGCCCGTTATTCCACCTCTCTTGCATGGTTCAGATTTTGTCACCTCACCTAAAAACAAAACTGAATTGTTTGCAAAGAACTTTTCATCTATATCATCTCTTGGTTCCACTAGTTGCGTTCTACTTAATATTGCTGATTAACAGGTTGATCTATTGCTTGACATTTGTATCACTTCAGCATCCATATCTTAAGTGATTTCCTGCTTAGACTCTTCCACAGCTTGTGATCCGGACAACATACCTGTTATAGTCTTGCAGAAGTGATCTCTGTAGCTGTCATCTATACTTTCAAAACTATTTATTAAGTGCTTATCAGAGCCTTGTTTTTCAGCCTGCTGGAAAGCGGCATCTGTTATTTCTATTTTAAAAACCTTTGGAGAGTAATCTGACACGTCTAACTACCGTCTCATTAGTCTTCTTCCTATCATAAGCAAAATTTTTGAATCTTTAATTAACAAACACTTAATCTCACATCTTGAACCTGATAACTGATCATCAATATGGATTTCGATCTTCTCATTCTACAGCTGATTTGCTAACCGATAGGTTTTATCATGCATTAGATAGAGGTGGAGAGGTTAAGGCTGTCGCTCTTGACATTTCTAAAGCAATTAAGTATCATGCTTTTTGTGTGACTGTTCCCAAGTATGTCTAGTTTTTTTCCTTGAAAATCAGCTCTTGGAACTCGCTTCCTTGATTTTGCTTTGATTGCATATAATTTGCAATCTTTAAAGTCGTCTGCTTGCAAGTGGTTGCTTGCAGTCTTTGTATGAAGCGAAGATGTTTAAAAAAAAAAAGAAGTTAGTTTTTCTTTGTATACATTTATTCTTTAGTTTTAATCAAAAAAATTAGCCTAAACATTTTTTTTTATCATTCTCTTTAATATGAACACATGTATCAGAGGTTTGGGATTCCTTGAAGTTATTATTTTTTTATAACATTTTTTTTTTTTAGGTATTTAAAAAATTGCTTTCAAACATTGATTTTCATTGATTTTCAAGATAAGTTTTCAGAAAATTTAGAAATTATTAGGAAAGTCAAAATTTTAATTTCTATATTTCTTTGTTATATATGATTAGGAATTGTGACTGACTAAATTGAGGCTAGTTAACACACTGCCTACTATCATGATTACCATTCTGGATTGGCTTTTAAACCATAAACAACATAAGTTAAATTCAATAACAAATAAACCTGGTTTTAACTCTACCCTTTATGTTATTTGAATACATTCAATCCATTATCAATTGATTACTCCAAAATAATGTAAATTATTTTTTGTAAACTTAAATCAATATTTATTTTAATAAAAGAATATATATAGAAAAAAAAATTTTCTTTATTCTATTATTTAGATTAATAATTACCTAAAATTAATTATTTTAATTATTACCTAGAACCAGTTTGATTTTTATTATAATGTATATTTACAGAATACTAAAAGTAAAATAAATAAAACAAATAATAAAAATAAATGAAAATAATACTTCCAAAATCAAAAAAAAAGTCCCATAATAAAACTCAAAACTTGGTTGTTGTTTTTTCTCATAAAGAAACAATCCCTACTTTGTGATTTCCTGAAGAAGTGCACTTATCAATGAGTCTTGCAGTGGCTTAATTATTTCCGACTTCCACATTTCAAATGCTAACTAAAAAGATAGTTATATGAAATAAGAAATTTTATATTTTTATTTATTAATTATATGAATAAAATTCATATAAAAAAAAAAAAAAAAAATGATTCAAAAATAATACTTGAAAGTTTTTTGTTTAAACTTTAAATATTTTTAAAATTAGCTTACAATATTTAAGTTTAATTAAAACAAAACAATATTTAAGACTCTGACTCTAATATTCAATATTTAAGACAATATTTTGACACTATATCTAATATTCAGTAATGTCATTTAATACAGGAAGATTAACAGTATTTTGATAATTGCTTGAAATAAATACCTATACTAAGGTACAAACAACCCACAAACTTTTATATTTTAAAGCTGAAAATTCTGACTACTAAGTTAAATTTGTCTAAACCTCTAATTAAAATTGGAATACAAAATATTTATATGTGAGTACCAAATAATTATAAACAAATAGTGTTTATAGGACTAGAATACACGCAAATATACATATTTTTTGAGTTATTAAAAAAATAAATTGTGTATATCTGGATTACATATTTATGAATACTTTGTAATATTTTATATGTTAATCTTTAATCTAATAATCTGATGTTAATCTTAATATGATTTTATTGTGAATACCATCTTTTTTTAGTTATGCATGGATTCTACAAGATTTTCTTGGAATTTGTTTTTGCATCTCATTAATAATTACCAAATTATCATTATTAATGCGATAGCTGTAGAGCAAAAAAGGTTTAAAAACTAAAAAGTATGAAAGTATGAAAACAAAACAAAAAAAAAAAAAAAAAAAAAAAAAACCATGATAAACAAGTTACTGAACTATTTTGAACTCCCAATAAAATGATATTAAACTAATTTTTTTTTACACATTTTTAAGTTCTATTAATTACCTAACCCCACTTATTAATACCTAATGAGCATTGAAATTATTTGTAGCCAGTGCCTTGGTAGAAGAAAACAAGCAATCAAAAAATATTGACTATACCCTTGTTAACCATTTCTAAATGGGTAGATAAATCAAAGGAAAAAACTGAACATTGTATTTTGAGCATTTGACAATAAATACAAAGTTAAAGCTTCTATTGCTTTACATTCAGGTTATAGATTCATTCTTACTGATTCAAATTACGAATCATTAAGTGTATTAAATCATCGAATCCTTATCACATAACTAAAAAAAATTAAATTCCAAAATTATGGAACCACAAATTTGTAATCATCAAAAATTGTTGAATCATAAATCTCCTTAGTTTAGTCAAAAAAATAAACGACTTATATATATCAAGACTTTGTGGTTAAACTTTTCTTTAAAAATAATAATAGTGCTGAAGTCAAAAACAACTACGAAGCTGCATGCAAACACTTGAAAAGTTATGAGCAAAAATTTACAATAGAAAGATAAATTGAAAAATAATCTAAAGTTATTATTTAATTTTAGTGCTTTTTGAATCACTCACAACTGGAAGGATTCAATTAAATGGAAATTTGAAAAACTTCATAAGCAAGAAGTTTAATCCTGCAAATTTCTGGGTAATAACCTAACCAGGTTATTACCCAGAAGTCTAGGTAATAACATAATTATGTTATTACCAAGAAATCTGGGTAATAACATAACCATGTTATTACCCAGAAAACTTGATAATAACATTATCATGCTATTACCAAGAAGTCTGGGTAATAACATAATTATGTTATAACTGAGAAATTATAATAAAAAATAAAACAAAATAAGAAATTCTGATTATGTTCTTTATTATCTTTCCTAATTTCCTAAAATTCCTAACACAAACACTAATATATTGCAAACACAAACCTTAACAACTGACAAGATACTTAATAAAAAAAATTATTACACAAACGCTAATATATTGCTAACACAAATGCTAATATATTGCTAACATAAATGCTAATATATTGCTAACACAAAAATGCTAATATATTGTTAACACAAATGCTAATATATTGCTAACACAAACGCTAATATATTGCTAACACAAATGCTAATATATTGCTAACACAAACACTAACAAATTGCTAACGCAAACAATAAAACTGACTAGATATTTGATAAAAAAATTATACTATAGTGCATTATTTTATATCAGTTTAAATTGTAAATTATAATTTCATATTTCCATTCATTTTTACATAATGCAATAATTAGTAATTCTACTTATTGTAAAAATTCTTGATATGTAAAAAATGTTTCTGAAATAAATTGAATGTCAAGCTTTTTTTTTTGGTCACCACTCTAAGTTAAGGGGGCTACTACAGTCAAGAACTTAGTTTTTTTATTGTTGTCTGTATTGCCCACTTGTTTTGCTGAAATTTTGCTAAATAAAGCAGTCTTTTGAATTAATCAATATGGCAAGTATTCTTATTATTAAATAAGCACAAACTGGAGTTTGTCATATTAGTTTGGGCAATCATACCAATGTAATAGTGTGACTGATGTTAAATAATGATCTTAAAATTGTTAGTAACCTCAAAACTGTTAACTATATCAATGTAACTTTTAATCTCTGCGACCAGTCCAAACCATACTCCAAACCTGATAATACTTTAAATTACATACATGCTTAATCTAACCACCCTTCTAGTATACTAAAACAACTACTTCACAATGTTGAACTGAGATTGTCCGGAAATTCTAGTAGCAAAGAAGTATTCAAGAAATCTGTATCTATGTATAATTAAACTATGAAACTTTGGTTATGAACTCAATCTCTCCTACTAACCTAACCTAAAACAACAACGAAAGAGAAACCGTTCATGCAAAATAACCTTGTATAACCCTCTTTTTAATATAAATGTCACCACAAATAAAGGAAAATGCTTTTTAAATTTGATTGCCAAACAAATTCAAATTAACCACAAATTCAAATTAACCACAAACTACATAAAAATTTTAACAAGAACACTGTAAAAATCAGCTATAGTTGCATGCCAAACATGAAATCAGTAATAAACTTACACAACAACCACATACTAAACAGGAATCCAACCATCAATAAAAATAACTGCAACTGCCTTAATAAAAACAATTGCCATTTACTCAATAACTGCTTGACCAACAACATTGTATACCAAGCAACTATCACTTGGGATAATCCTTCAATAAAAAAAAAACATACATTGGTAAAGCGAAGCACCCTTTAAACTAAGATATGTCAATCTTTAATATTCCTAAACATAAAAGCAATACAAATCTGTCAAAAGAAGTATGGAAATTATAATAAAAACCCCCTGATTAGATGGAAAATAATTAGATGATGAGAAGCGTATAACCTGACAACAAAATCAAGCAAGTTATGAAATGCATTAATGAAAAAAACAATGACAACAGCTTATTAAAAAAAAAACTGGAATTATATCAAAACATCAACATTTAAATAAATTTCTTCTTTGTCAATTCAACACAGGGTAAAAATAGACTAAGACTCATGCAATCAATCTTTGACATAAGATCCCTTTACATGTTTTAATTTTTAAGGGTTTTTTAATTTCTTGATTTAAAAATATATGGCAGATGATTGCCACCAGGCATAAAACTCTAATTACCAACAAAAAAGTTGTATTTTTTTTATTTTAATATTAATATTTATAGTTCAGAACTGTATTTCATACTACAGCCTTTTATTAAGTTATTAGAGTAATTAATTTCTAGTTGAAAAAAAGAGAGGGGAAAAGATAAATAACGAGAAAGGAAAAGATGGAGGGGAAAAGATAAATAATGAGAAAGGAAAAGATGGAGGGGAAAAGATAAATAATGAGAAAGGAAAAGATGGAGGAGAAAAGATAAATAATGAGAAAGAAAAAGATGGAGGGGAAAAGATAAATAATGAGAAAGGAAAAGATGGAGGGGAAAAGATAAATAATGAGAAAGAAAAAGATGGAGGGGAAAAGATAAATAATGAGAAAGGAAAAGATGGAGGGGAAAAGATAAATAATTTCATAAATGCTGACAAACTAGAGGTTTTACATTAAAATCACTTTAAAAGAATAAAAAAATAAAGAAAGCGAAACAAAATATATAAAAAATTATATAAAAATATATAAAATTAAAAAAAATTACATGTATGTATGTTTTTTGTGATGTTTAAATTTCCTTAACCTGATATATAATACTAATTTCTTTTAACTTTTCATATTTGTGTGTTAATCTAAATATCTGTCAATATCCTTAAAGCCCACTCAATTATTAGAAAAAGTGATTTTCAACAGACAATATGCAACAACATAATATAACAGGTAACATAAACTTACTGCCCCAATAGGTTTTTTGTCAACTTCGTAAGCAGTTGGTACCTGCACATACTCAGCATAACTGCCTTTTTTACGCAAAGCATAATGGTCATTTAAGTACCTTAAATCAAAGTTTTTATTTACATTTTAAAAACAATTGCTCTACTTCTTTTCTTTTTCTTAAAATTAGAAAAATAGATCACTTTCTAATAAAACAAAATTACCTGTACAAACCATTAATACAATTAGTACCATACTCATATTGCAGCCAATGTCTATGGTAACTTCCTAATAGATTTTGTTCTGTCGAAATATTCTATAAAACAAAAAAAAAGCATTATACTTGTACTTAGTGTTTAGTGCAGAAAAATTATTATAGTATTTACAAATCTATACATCTCAGTGTTGTCAGGGTGTTAGCCAGCCCAATGGCGCCACATATACCACACAATTCCTAATAGATTTAAAATTCCCAAAATTCAATGACCTTTTTTTTATTAATTTTTTTCATTTTTAGAGTTATAGGACAATATCAATAAAATTTACCAATATTTTGTAGAACAACAATAAATATTCCCAATATTGCAAAAACTATGAAAATATGTTCCTGGCTGACACCCTGGTTGTATAGAGATGAAAATCTTTTAAAGAAATTTTTTATGATAATCCACAACATTCAGTTCAAAAAATCTTTATTATTTCAGACCATTTCCAAAACATTTCAAACATTATAACCCAAAACTTGTACAATTTGTTTAATAGTAATTAACACATTCCCAGTCAGAGTAGTTACAGATTAATAACACAAAAAAATTTAATAGACCCTGTTGTAAAAATTTATAATAACAATATAGTATACTATAATAGCAATAATAACAATAATGATAATATAAAGGATACTTTTTTTTTATTGAGGATTAAAAAAAATGTTTCTTAGCCATTGTAAAGACAATGAAGATGAGGCTGAAAACTCTGAAACCTTAAATTTAATTTTGGGTAATAGGAGCTTGTTCTTATAATAAGTTTCTCTTTTAGGTCTAAAAAAACATGTAAATATTGTCAGACCTACTCTAGTTGCCCATCTCAAACCTCAGTTCCATCATCGTAAGGTTGCATCTCTAACTTTTTTTTTTTTATAAATACTATCATAATTGGGGGTTGTCCATAAAGTACGTACGCCAAAATTTCTAAAATTTGACACCCCTGCCCCCTGTTGCCAGGCGTACTTTTAAGTCCCCACCCCCTTAAAAAGTATGTACATTTTTATGTACCTCCCCCCCCCCTTATTTAAAAAAAAAAGATGGAAAAGATACCCTAGATACTTTAAAAGTATCTAGGATACCTCCTCCACCTTTTTTATTTTAATTAATTTTTTTTAATTAACACCTTTTTTATTTAAATAAATTTATGTATTTAAAAAAAAAAAAAATAGGCGGGGGGTGAAAAGCGTATAAAGTATTTATACGGCCCCAAGCCCTTTGTTAGCGGCAAAGGATTCCAATTTAAAAAACATCATTAAATATATACAAATATAAATTTAAATATAATTAAATTTTGCAATATTGAAGAGATTGCTTGGCTGAGAGGATGATGTTATGGACACTGGCAGCCGAGATCCGAGTTCGATTCCCAATAAAGTCCTATTTTACTTTTTCCGTTTAATAATGCATCAAATAAAAATAAACTATACTTAAAGCAGACATTTTTTTCAGGCACCCCTCTGTAATAAGTCCATAAAAAACGAGTCACGCGAGAAGAGTAATATTGGAAACAAAGCTTAAAACCCAGTGCCAAGTGTAGGCTACCCATACCCCATAATCAGAGGGGGTGGGGTGTTGTGGGGGAGCAGCAAATTTTATGCCCTTTTGCTATTTTATTTTAGCAAAACCTAGCGGTAAAATTTGGAAGATTTTGAGACTCTAATGACACGTTTTTTTATTTTAAGGGGAGGGGGGGCCTCTGACCTATTAGCCATTGCACTGCTAAAACCTGTTTTTTGTTGACTCAAAAAAGAGGCAACCTATTTTTTTGCACATGCATGCACACATGCCACTCCTTATATACTGGCCCTGAGTATACTCAGAGCCAGTATATAAGGGATGGCATAGGCATCTGCAGGATTGTTTCAGATAGGACACTTTCACACATTGTGCAAACTCCAAACTTAAGTATGTTTATACCTATGCCAAATGAGGAGACCTTGTAAAAAATTGGTATGGCAGAGAGCTGTCAACAAATAGCCCTGAAACGCTTGCCCCCTGCTTAAACATGAGGGCAATTACTGTAGTAAAATTTTTAACTAAACGATCTAAGAATAAATTCATATTTATCAACAAAATTTAAATTTCGTTGATTTATTATTTATTCCATTGACTTACATTATTTATTCCATTGACAAAGACTCAATCTTGAATGGCTCATCAAAGGGTATGACTTCAGCGAAGTCATACCCTCTTGCTGTAGCTATTCATTGTTGTTCAAAAAATCTAGTATTACACTACTAAACTAGTATTACACCTCAAACATCAGTGCTATAGAATTTTTATCTCATCTTACCCTGACTCATACAACTTAAGTTTTTGAAGTTTTCTGTCAAACAATTTCTTGCTCTTCAATTTTTTTCTTTCATTTCTTGTATACTCCGAACTCGATTAGTTGTTGCTAGGTATGCAGAAGGTTATGCAGGTAGGATCTTGTAATGCTAACTTCCTTGGTGCGACTAAATTCACATACAAGGTCATCATTTTTTGCTAATTAAAAAATGAGGATATATATTTTATTCCATGAACTTACATTATCTTAAGTTTATCTAAAAGGTTGGTATCAGAAAGACTCTCTAAAGAGTCTCTAAAATGTAAAAAGCATTTAATATTTATCTCCATCCAGATATCTTTCCAGAATTAATGTGCAACTGTTACAAGAGTAATTTCTGCAGCTTATCCTGATCACTGAATATAGTTTGTTGTTGCTCATTAGAAATGGTTGCTTCAATTGTTTGTAGTAGCTACAAATGGCATTTCAGGGCAAATCTATTAAGAATTACTTGACATTAATGATAATAATATAACCTGCAAAAACTAACAATTATACTTATGCTGAAAATTAGCAAAAAAATATCATGTTATTAGGGTTTAGTTCTAATTTACTTTTATTATGTAATCCATAAATATCAAAAATACAACTATTTTGAAAAACATTTGTGCTTCAGTAAAACTTTGACTTTAATTTCAAGGAATCTAAATTATAATTTCAGAATCACGATTTTTATTTAATTTTACTATTTATGACATTAGCATTTCAACAATTAATTACATTTAAAACATAAATGTATGTATATATATAAATATATATATATATATATATATATATATATATATATATATATATATATATATATATATATATATATATATATATATATATATATATATATATATATACATATCTACTATAGCATATTTATATGCGCAATTGCTCACTTTTTTTGCTAGCCTAAATTAAGTGAGCGTTTTTAGAAAACGATGAGGGAAAACGAAGAATAATGAATGAAAAGGTTGCTGACCCATACCAAACCCTCTAGTCGATGTAGCAGCACTCCACTGCGAGTCAGGCTATTTGTCAGTCGATGTATGTACTGAAGCCCCCAGCAGCAGGCTATTTGACGTTAGGTGAGTATGACATCATCATGCTCACCTAACTCAGCAGTATAAGATATATATATATATATATATATATATATATATATATATATATATATATATATATATATATATATATATATATATATATATATATATATATATATATATATATACTCTTGCATGTCTCTTGCGTGGCATCAAAAAAAGTTTCCCATAAACTGTAGTTTTAAAGAGCGCGTTAATAAACCAGACCAGAAAAAGTTTTAAAAATTTTAAAAATAAATTTTTTTTTTTAATTGATAGACTGCCTGGCCAAACCAAACCCTCAGTCGATGTAGCAGCACTCTCTTGCGAGTCAGGCTATTTGTCAGTCGTTGTAGCAGCACTCCCTTGCGAGTCAGGCTATTTGTCAGTCGTTGTAGCAGCACTCCCTTGCGAGTCAGGCTATTTGTCAGTCGATGTAGCAGCATTCCCTTGCGAGTCAGGCTATTTGTCAGTCGATGTAGCAGCACTCCGTTGCGAGTCAGGCTATTTGTCAGTCGATGTAGCAGCACTCCGTTGCGAGTCAGGCTATAAAATAGTCGATGTAGCAACATTTACGCATGTTTTAAAAATGTTTTTTATTAAATCAATAACAAAAACACAACTAATTAAAAAAAACTTTCTAGTCGTTATAATTGCGGTTTTTTAAAAAAATTTTAAAAAACAATTAAATTTAATGTACTTCCGCATAAATTAATTGCTTTGACATTTCGATGACAATCAAAAACAGCTTAAGAGACGAGGTAATTTAAATTGTAGTCGTAAGAGACTTTTTTTACATTAAAACGCTCTTTCGACTACACTATAAGGGTATATATATATATATATATATATATATATATATATATATATATATATATATATATATATATATATATATATATATATATATATATATATATATATATATATATTATATATATATATATGTATATATATATATATATATATATATATATATATATATATATATATATATATATATATATATATATATATATATATATATATATATATATATATATATAAGTTGACGTACATATCTTTATTTATTGACAAACAATTAATTTAAAAGGTATATGTCAAATTAGCCAGTTTTATTGTTAATTCTTTTAATTTCAAATTGTTTTTATTTAAAGAATTTTTTATTAAATTAAAAGGGATTTTATTTTTAAACAGGATTTTATTTTCAAACAACTTTTGTTCTAGTTAATAAGTTATTAGATATATCAATTTTTTATTAATTTGAAACAAATTTCAACGCTTTTGCAAAGTGACCAAATTAACTAAAAATAAATAACATGCAATAGCTTATGACTATAAACTTTTATCCATTAATACAAAATAGTTAATTTTTTTTCAATTTATTTCGTTAAATTTATTTACTTATAAAAAAATGTATAAACTTGAAGAAATTAAAATAAAACAAAACTAAAAGTAAAATAAAAGTTGTTTTGACATTACTTTTTTCAAACCTTTGAAAATAATAATATAATATTAAGTGTTTAATAAGTTATTATATAAGGTTATTGTTAAATAATTAATATGATATTATAATATTATTATAATTATAGTATTAGATATTTAATAATAAAAATATCATATTGTGGGAGTTAAAAAATCTCTTTAAAACTTTAAAAAGTGTTTATAGTAAGCAAATAAACATTACTTCACTTTAATGATAACAAGAAAAGAAAAAAAAAAACACAATTTTGAAGAAAGCAATGTTTTGCTTTGCCGGGACTTCAGCACATTCATTGACTGACAAATAACTTGACCCGCAGCAGAGCGCTGTTACATCGACTAAAGGTTTGGCACGAGGCAGCAATCTATTCTTTCATTATTTTTTATTTTTTTCTTCTTTTTCTGAAAATTCATATTTAAGTTATTCTTGTCAAAGTTCTTGCAGAAGGTAATTGGTAATCTGTTTGCAATTGATTATACAAACTTCGACACCGTAATGATATGTTTCAAAATGCAAATCCTCACTAATCTTGATTAAAAACAGGGAAGTCTATTTGAATAAACTTGTGATTGTAAATGAATAGTGTTATTAATCATAAGCATACTAGTGGAACACCTAAACCTTTTTCATTATTTTCATTTTAGCAAAAGTTGCTAAAATAAAAATAATGAAAAATCTTTTTTTTTAAAAGTTGATAGTTAATCTTGGGCGAAATTTCAAAAAAACCAAAGAAACACAAATTGTTGCACACAATGGAGGAAGATGGATGAGAATTTGACAAGATGGTATGCCAGGCCAAAGAGATGGTGGAAATTTAGGACAATGTTTTCCTCTAGCTATTTGTTTTTTAAAATCTATTGGCCAAATTAACTTACGAACAGTGTCATAAGTTACATTTAAGTTTGCATATGGAATTACTTTAAACCACATTTTCTTTTTCTTCTTTATTTTTAGAAAATTGATATACTGGGAGCTTTAAATTATTAGATTTCTTTTTTGCAGATAAATAATTAGTAGTGCAGCTATAAATGTAAATGCAGCTATAAAATGGCAACTAAAGTTAAGCGAAATTTAAAATAGGTCCCCAGTCAGATATGCGGTTTGCATGTTGGCATGGCCTGCACTATAGATTGCCGTGACAAGTATTCATATCAAAGTGGCACAAAAACTTACAAAAATAGAGCGTACCTTTTGAATAATTGGCAGGAGATTGAATATTTATAAGACTATTTGATTCAAAGAATGGTTTTTACAGCCAAAACTATCATGAACTGGGACTATAGGGTTTTAATCATGGACAGAAACTTATTACTATTATTTTAAAATTTTTACAGGGAAGAAATTATTAATATAAAAGTTAATTTTTCATACAATAAAATGTAGAAAAAAGATATCTGACTTTTCATAAAACATGCACACAGTTATAAAGCCTTAAAAGTTTCTTTTTTTTTATATTTAAGGTGTAATACTGCATAATTGTTTTTAATGCTTAAGGTGTTATACTGCATACATATATATGTTATGCAAAGATCGTAAAATTGTAATTTACAAAATCAGCACATAAGTTTGCCCATTAGGTGAATTAGAAAGTCACCATATTCATGGAGCATGCATCCATTAACATATTACATAAAACTATTAAGTTACTAAGTATAAGTTTAAATAAAAAAAAAAGTTTAAAAAACTTACTTGATAGATTTTTCTAGAGTGTGATTCAAAAAATTCTTTTGTTTTTAAATAGAGTTTTGCATCTAACCCTTCAATATCAGATGCACATATTTTATATATGTCACTAAAACAATGCATTAAAGAAAATATAAGTTTTCACTAAAACAATGCATTAAAGAAAATATAAGTTTTTTTAAAAAATGATAAAAACATCAGCTTTTTTATTATTTAAATATAAATACAAGTTGACCCAAAAAAATTTTAAAAATATTTTGGTATTAAACATTGTTTAATGGAGAAAAAACTTTTTAGCAACAATGACTATAGCAATAAACAAATAAGAGCTAATGTTGTTTTTCAAAAAAATAACTCATTGTATTCAAAATGGCTCCATTCAAACTATCTTTTATTGATCAGAAATTTTGGGCACCAAAAATGTCTAATGAATTGATTATGGATTATCTATGAAGGTAGAGAGTCTAATATTTTAAAGTGTTCTTATTTGGGCTAATTAGAACCTCTAATAAAATTTTTCTAAAAGTATCAGATAACAAATATATGCTATTTGTATAATAAATACAAATTAAATAATAATAATAATAATTAAATAATTTAAAAAAATAATGAAAAAAAAAAAAAAAAGTTTATCTCTGTACCAAAATGAAGTTAGAAAAAATTAGCTTTTAAAAAGTCAAATGGTAATAATATGCTCTTGATTAATGTAAGACCAAAAAGAATAGAAACAAACCAGCTACACGTAAAGATTTTCCTTATATAACACTATTTATTTTCTAGAGAAAACTTGCCAGAAAAAAAACACGTTTGTTAAAAAACAAGCAAAACATTTTTGCTCGTTCTTTAACAAACAAAACATTCACATTTTTACTTTATAATTAGGTTTTAATATTAGGTATAATTAGGTTATGGCAAATAATAAACTTTATTCAAAAATTTCAAGTTAACAAGTGTTTTCTGAGGCAAAATTTGATACAAAATTCGATTCTGGAAAGAAATTGCAGCTGGCATGACCATTTAGGTTAGAAAAGAGCACTTTTTTCAAGGTAGCGGCAAAAAGTAGCAACTGCTATAACCATCACAACCATGGCTCCCAATATTTCTTTTTATAGGATTTCAAGGTTGCTTAATTCAATTCTGAAGCTGTTTCATGCATGCTAAGTGTCACAAACCCAATATCATAATAATCTGAACTTTTTACTGTTAAGAACGATGAGGCGCCAATACAATATTCGATTGACGATTTGTAACCGACTCACAAATCAACTAAATGAAATAAGAATTCTGTCAAGCTGTTTAAAAATCATAAACTCGGACCACTTTAATAATCAATACCACCAATCACATGAAAAAATATTCACACGTCATCACACTTTACAGGATTGAACTGAGTCAATGTTGTTCGAGAGTTCATTTTCTGATTTTATAGCGCTATAAATGGAACATCTCAGTTTGTCAATTGTAAAAGCCACCATTTTGAATTTTCCAGAATCAAGTTTTATTCGTTGTCGCTGTTTGATTTCAGGCACTTCACCAGACTAGTTGCCACAACATTCTTTCTAGAAATGATTTGTATTGATGTAGTTCCACTACATATTTTTATGCAATTGTCCAGCTTTGTTAACTCCAATTCAAATCCAACATTTGTCAGTGGCGCATGCACAATTTTGCCATCTCTTGCATTCAAGATCAGAGTCTTTCCGTATATTATTAAAGTCTGGATTGATGACTAGAGAGAAAAAGTTCAATGTCAAATCAATGTCTCTATAATTTTAGCCAAGATAGCAGCAAGAAACCTTCCTCTTTTAAATCAACATTGCTTCTAGCATCCTTTCAGTTGTGATCATTTTTCTTTGAAAAACTTACAGCTTCAATGTTTTGGATTGAGTGTCTCCTAGTTTACAAACTCTTTCACTATTTCAGCAATGTACCCAAAATGATTAGAAACAAAACCTCTTAATCTGCAATGTTCAATACTTTGAAGATCCACCCAGCCTTTGTATTCTGTGCATAAAGATACAGTGACTAGCATGACTTGATGAGAGGAAATGACAATTTGTTCAAGAGCATGTATTAAAGTTGAAGGAGACAAGAACACAGTTTCTGAACTCCTATTTTTTGCTTCAACAACTTGGATTTTTAACAAAATACTTAAATCTCTGGAATAGTCTGACATCCATTTTTTAGCACTTTTCACTTCATCTTAGATTGACATCTTTTCGGTTCATTCGAGTCTGACTCAAAATCAATCAACTCTTTATCTAGCCGATTTAAATTGATTGTCCATTTCTGACCAAATATTATGTTAACAGTTTTTACAATACTAACTAAATGACCGTGACTGATTTTGTGGCTGCATAAGCACTAGATAGTGGATCTTATTATACATTCATCCAAACATTTATGACTAGTTATTACCAGAATCTTTGGGAACATGTCTCCTAGACGTAGGGTGGTTTCTCAAACTTGAAGACAGTGTTTCTGGCATGATTGGAAGCACGACAAGGAATTCTTGATCTTGGTCTTCTGACTTGGTTCCTTGAACATCATGGGTCTTTAGGGCATGCATAGACTGCAGCCTTTTGCATATTTTTTTCTGCTTAGTGACTTTCTCAATAGTCTTCCGCTTTTTCTCATTTGACTATTTTTCTTCACCTGTTTTTTCCATTTCCCTGAATTCGTCAATGTACCAAATGCAAAGTAAGACCCGGAGCAATTATCATAATGGAATGCCTTATCTTTATCTGTCATTTTGAACAACTCTTCTAATTTCTGTTGGTATGTCACATCATTTGTTCTGATATCATAGGCTCTGCTTATCATAGACATTGAAATTTTGAGCTTTCATTCATTGACTAGTTTTCATGTAACTTGAATTTTTAAGTTGCTTTATAAAAGTCATTAAAATTTGGTATTTATCTCTTATCTTCTTTGTATATATCTATTTGTCTCTTATCTTCTTGGCTACATTTTGTTGACACAGCGGATAAAATTTCTTCGATCTCCAGTCAGTGGATAGATCCTACATCATTTTTTGCTTGCATTATTATATGATAAAAGTTTAGAACCAGGTCTCACTGAACACAGGTGTATCATCTGTCCAATTTAATGTGCACCATTTTGCAACTTGGATTTATCATTGAGTGGTTTGAGTTGGTTCTTCACGATACACAGCCCCCACAATTTTGCAAGTTACAGTATTGCTTCAAGTTTTGACTGAACATCCATGTTCTTTGGCATGGTGGATCCGCGTGTTTGGAGACCTCGAATAAAAAATCAGCACTAAAACAATGGACTTTTTTTACAAAATAATGTGCTGCTAGTCACGTAGGCACTTTATTTGGTCATGTAGGTAGGTTATTTATACCAGATTGAATGTTCTGGTCACATAGGCGCTTTAGTGGCCAAGTATGTGCACAAAAAGGTGCACATTTACCTTCACACTTATTTAATATGTTTTAAACATTTCCCATTTATTTCTGCAATACTTTTTGACAGGAAACACATGTTCCTGACCAAAAACACTATTTAACGTACAAATTTCTGTACTACTTGCATCCAGCACCCAAGAAAACATATAGAATGATAAACTACACGCATAAATTTGTGGAAAAATATTTTTTACCAATTTTAGGCAGCAATTTTGAAAAAAAAAATTCTAATCGAAATTGCTGTTGCAAACCAAAAATTCTTCCAGATTTAAATTCAGCGTCACATTTCTCCTTATAAACAGCTTGTTATAGCAAAACTTTCATATTTGCCCCACACTATTATAATCAGGGAGCGATCGCTTTCAAATACTGACCACGGAAATTATATTTAGTTGCGAAAAACTGGCCAGGTTTTTTAGTCGTTTTGAGAACATTTAAGTTTATGTACGAAACAAAAAATTTTTGTTTTACGGACATACATGGAAACATAACCAAAAAACCTGCCAAATTAATGAACAAACTAATTCTTTTGGTTCAAAAAATATGCTGACTAAGCGAAATAAAGTTCTAGAGTATTCTGTTTAAATGTTTTAGTAATTTTATTATTCATGATTCGTTAGGTTTTGAGATTTCTAGCATAAACTGTTTTCAGAATATATATTATTTGTTTACAAAAATAAATGTTTTAAATATATTTTAATTAAATTGTCAAAATTTTAAAAGTTTATTATAAACTATAGATTTTATTAGTATATTCTTATCTTTTATTTAAAAAGTATGCATTCTTTATGTAAATATAATTTTGTGTATCTGTTTTTTATCGTAATGTATTTTTTAAAGCAATTTTTATGATTTAAACAAAGACTTACAAAAATAATTGCGTTTTCAATGAAGTTATAATCGTTAAAGTTGATAAAACTAATTATGTAACAAACATATAAGAAGTTTCTGGTTACTAAACACTAACAACGCATACAAAGTAACTCGCGGATAAACAACTACCGCGCCTGAGGTCACGACAGAACACAAATATATATAGCAAATAATTAGATATAAAGAAAAGTTTCTAGATATTGGTTTACTAACTCTAATTATTTTAGCTCAAGTTGCCATTCTTATAACTTGTTATACTTTTTTGTGCTTTAAATACTAATTAAAATTAAAAAGCCCACTCACTAAACATCATCAGTGATATTGTGAAGCAGTTTCGCTTCCTCATCATACAGTATTTTTAACCATTTTAGTTGATTTCTATCTAGTTAATTTAATTTCTATAGTAATTCATGATTTAATTATTTCATTTGTTCATCTTGCTAAGAAGAATTGCTTCAAATATTTTAAACTTTTTAAACTACGCGAAACATAAAATAGGTATTAAAAAAATTAACTTTTTTATTTATAAAATAATTTAGCTTAAATAAAACTAAAACTTGCAAACTTTGTTAAATAAAGAATATTTGTTTCCTTTTTAAACAATCGTAAGACGTTAGTTTATATAAAAATCATCGCTTAATTTTATTTAAAAAACTATAAAAAAGCGATGTTTCGAAAATATTTGTTCTAAATGTAATTTATTTAGCTTTAAGTTTTTTCGCGTTAAAAGATATTTTATTTGCCTCATTTATTTATTTTTTTTGTAATTGTCTCTCATTGGTTCAATTAATCTTTTGCGCTTTTTTTTTGCTTTTTAAAATGTTCTCAAAACGACTAAAAAATCTGGCCAGCTTTTCGCAACTAAATATTATTTACGTAGTCAGCAATTAAGAGCGATCGCTCCCACTTCCCGACCAAACCTGTATAATTCAATAAAAAATAAATAGGTATTCTATGTTTTATGTGACCTGAAGTAAAATTAATACAATAACTATATACTTTCAACTTGTGTAAATTTTCTATAGATTGAAATCCATCAAAAACAATGCTTTTTCCAATGACTGTTTTTTGTTCCTGAAATCCCATTCCCTAGATAAAAACTGGCTTCAAAGTTGTCAGTTACAATATGATGATGCAACATGTCAAGAAATAATTAGCAAAGTGCATTGTAGAATTCTTAGTAAAAATTGGTTACTTATAAACAAGAAAAAATGGAGAAACTAATGACAAGGAAAAACAATTTAAAAAATGAGTTTATTGTTTTAAAATTGAGTTTATTCTTTTTAATTGTTTTTATTTACTTAAAGTTTACTGCAACTGAATATCTCTAGATTTATCACTGATAGACTAAAAGTAATAAATGCTGAATTATTGTAAAAATAATTTTTTTTAAAGTAATATTTATTATTCATCACTTAGATTATGGTATTCATTCAAATAACTTTTTAAATTCTAATAAAATTAACATATATATATATATATATATATATATATATATATATATATATATATATATATATATATATATATATATATATATATATATATAAATATATATATATATATATATATATATATATATATATCAGGTTTGGACAGGAATGGCGTGCGATCGAGCGCTATTGTTGACCACACAAATGATTTTATTTTTTGACAACTTGACCACGATTGTTTAATAAACAATGTTTATATGTTTTGATGAGTTGAAAATTTCAGAAATGTTCTGAATGTAGAAACGCTAAGCTAAACTTAAACAAGGAAACATTCATTTTGTAAAAAAAGTTGCAGAAAAAAAATTGTTTAAAAAAATAAAGTAGTCTTTTTAAAATAGTAATTTTTACTAATTCATACTCTAATTAGTGAGTCTAATTAAAAAAAAGGTTTTGAACTGTTTTATTCGTAAAAATAGAAAAAAAAACATAAATAAATAAAATGCTTCTGCGATTTAAATAAATTAACTGCCAACAAGCTTTTTAATTTAATTTTAATTTGAGCATTACAACTTTATTAATTAGCGCTTCACGTAACGAATTCAAAAATTATTATAAAAGATTTAAACTCATTTCTAACGAAATTGAAAAAAAAAAAAAAAATTGTTTACAAAAAATAAGTTTATTTCAAACATTTTTTAAAATCTTAAGTTTAATCATAAAATTTAATCGTATAAACATTACAAAATGCTTTAAAACTTTTTCATTAAATCAACAAAATACATGCTTATATAAGTAAATAAAGTTATTTTATATTCTTGTGTAATTCACATAAAATGTGTAAAAGTTAGTAGTCACAAAAGCTTTTGAACTTATTCACAAATTAAAGTAACTTAAAAAAATTCTTTCTAAAAATAATGGTTTAAAAATGTTTTAGGAAGACATAAGAAAATAATTTCAATCGTTTAAATTTATCATAAAAAATAAATGCCTACATAAAAAAAACTTATTTATAACGTTTTTTATTAATTTACACGAGCGTTTATGTAAACAATAACAATAATTAATTTTATGGTTTTATTTAAAGCCTTTGCGTAAAGTAAAAAACTTTAGAAAAGATCAAAGATTAAAAGATATTTATAACGTAACACTTTTTTTATTGCATTCAAATTGTTAAAACATCAAAATAGCCGTGGTCAAGTTGTAAAGAAATAAAAATATTAGCGTGGTCAGTTACAGAGTGCGATCGCACGCCATTCCTGTCAAGCCTTCCCAGGAAAGGCGTGCGGCTTTCTTTCTTGTACGACCACGAAAACGTTTTTCAAGTTAGAGAACGTGACCACGTCCGTTTGCTCAAGTTATATTATATGCGTTGCTGAAAAATTGTTTTTAAATTTAATAACTGCATAAGAAATTAAAGTAAACTTAAATAGAAAACAATAATAATAGTTTAATTTTAGACGTTAAAAAGGATGACTTTCCCATATTTTATGTGTTTTTTCTTTTAGAGAGGAAAGAGAAAATTAACCAATAAAAAATTTTTATTGGTTAATTTTAAAATTAACGTGCGTTTTTACGGTCTATTAGTAACGTTTGTCATAATGCTAAACTTTTAATATGACACGTTTTCATAAAGTTGTCTGTCACGATTTTATAAGTTACTTTAATTTTAATATTATTTGAACATCCACTTTATTCTTCTAGATATTTTTCTACTTCAATTAAAATTTGGGAATACTAATGTTGCTTGAACAAAGAATGGATTTTAAAAGTTATAAGTGCGTTATAAAAGTAAAAACACTATTATAACTATTAATTACTATTATTACTATAAAAGTAAAAACACTATTATTACTATAAAAGTAAAAACACTATTATATGTTATTACTTTTGTAATGCAGTTAGTGACTAGAATGTTCTTACTTTTGTAATCGTAAGTTTATTGTTTTATTTTTTATTTTTTCGCTAACAAATTTAAGTTCATTCTCCCCTTATAAACAAGGAACACGGTTTTGTATAAATTAAAATTTATAATGCTGGATATTTGTCCAGATTTTGCGTTTTGCATTCGCTTAATTCAATCCTTGTTGCTACATTAAAATTATAAAAATAAATTTTACAAACACATTGCAATTTTTATTTTTACTATCCTCTTAAAAAAAAATTAAGAAAAGGAAAATCATTCTTTTTATTGTAGACTTCAAATTTTTTTTTTTTTTGCTTCGCCTTTCTAATTTTGTTGCTGGAAGTAACTCTAAAGAAACAAAAATAAAAACAGTACACAAATTATTTAAATTATTAATTTGTTTTTATTTTTTTCTATTTCAATCTCTTCTTATTTTGTTAGTTTTGTTTTTTTTGTTTTTGAAACTTTTTCAGCGTTATTATAAAACTTGCAAACGACCGTGTTCATGTTTTCTAAAATAATCTAATCCTGTGTGGTCATACGAAACAAAAAACCGCACGCCTTTGCTGGGAAGGCTTGATATTAAAACGCTGCAATTAGTTAATTTAAATTTATAGTTAAGTATTTATTTTATTTTTTGTCTGATGGTTTTTATAAATTTCAAACAAATAAATTAGCTTTTGAAACCCATTTTAAATTTATTTTATAAAAATTTTAACGTAATAGTTATTTTTATGGATATAGAAACCAGTACTTTTTATTAAAGACTAAAGTACTATTAAATTTGAGTTGTTATGTAATAATTTATAAAGCATTTTGCATAGTATAGTTATTTTTGAAAAATATAATATAAATATATTTTCCTTTTTAAAATTTTAGTTTTTTGAGCTTAGTTTTTTCATGTTCTTTAAGATTTTCTTTTTGCTAGATATATATATATATATATATATATATATATATATATATATATATATATATATATATATATATATATATATATATATATATATATATATATATATATATATATATAGTTAGCCTTCTCAGGAAAGGCATGCAGTCACACACCTTATATGACCATTCCTAATATATTTTAGTTTGACAACTTGGTCACGACTCTTTGCAAGTTTTGAAAATTAGAGCATTTGAAAAATGAAAATTAGATTAAAACACTTTTAAATTAGCATTTAAAAAATGCTAATTTAAAAGTGTTTCACTTTACAGAATTTAAAGAAGATCAAAGTTTCAAAGATATTTATATAAAATCCAAGCTTAATTACTTCAAAACCTAATTATTTAAATATTTGAAACTTTTATATTTTCTAAAGTATATTAAGCAAATAAAACATTAAAAAAAAATTGCTGTTGAAAGGATTTGAACCCAAATCTAATGTTAAACTAACAATTGCACCTCATAAATATAACAATATATCAACATACACTAACATATTGAGAAAAGTTATTAAATATTCATTAAGATGCTTTTATTAAATTTTATTGAAGTTGGATTTATTAACTGTTGCTTCTAAATTAAAAAATATATTAGTTTTGTGCTTTTTATTTTCGCTAATGTATCCTTTAGTAAGTTTATCATTCACTAAGTCAGTTTGTCTTTACAGTTTATGGTTTGCTTAATTTTAATTTTCTCTTTAAATTAGTCTGGTTTTTTCAATTTATTTTTTAAACACGCAAGTTATCAAAATATGCAAAAAATCACTAAGCAATTTCCTAATATCAAAAAATGATATTAGGAAATTGCATCCTTAAGTGGTGGTGATGAATTTATACATATATATAAATATATGTGTGTATATATATATATATATATTATATATATATATATATATATATATATATATATATATATATATATATATATATATATATAAATAATCCTTAAGTGGTGGTGATGAATTTATACATATATATAAATATATATGTGTATATATATATATATATATATATATATATATATATATATATATATATATATATATATATATATATATATATCAGAGGTGTGCACTTGTGGTCGCCCAATGGTACCAGGTGACTGAATTTCATGAAGGGCAACAAAAAAAAATTACTTGATGCAAAAAAGTTGCCCGAAAAGATGACCATTAATTTTTATCAGCAGTTCTAGTAATTTGTTTTTAATTCAAGAAATTTTATTTTTGAATTTTTCACTCTTTGCGTGTCCTTTACCACCTACTTTAGTCAATACATATAGAAACTTTGCATGTTTTACCTATTTCAGTCAATGCATATCCACTCCACACTCAACAAAACAAAAATAAATAAAAAATAAACCAAATTAAATTGAAAAAAAAAAAAAGTATATAAAAGCATTAAAAAACTAAAAATAAACACATTTTGTATCAAATAAAAAATTTAAGTCAATTAAGTTATATTTATATGATTTGATTAATTATATTATAAAAAAGATACGAGAATCTTTCATGCCATTCAGCTCTATTGATTGGAGTCAATGTTATTACATTTTGCAAAGTTCCACAAATATTCATCCAAACTTCATTAAAATTAACATCAGTTGGTCGCATTGTTGACCTAAATTCTTGATGTTTAATAGCACTCATAACAAAGAAAACTTCTCAACTTTTGCATCATTCAAATATAACTGTAACTACACAATTTATCTATTTAATCTAAGAAAAAAAAACTATAAATAACTTTATTTGAAAAAAAAAAATTATATATATATATATATATATATATATATATATATATATATATATATATATATATATATATATATATGTATGTATGTATGTATATACATATATATCATCATGTGTATGTATGTATGTATGTATCATATATATCATCATGTGTATGTATGTATCTATATATATGTATGTATGTATGTACATACATATATATCATCATGTGTATGTATGTATCTATGTATATGTGTATGTATGTATATACTATGCATGCATGCTTGCTTTTTGCATTCCTATAGTAGTATGGCATCATTAGTGACAATACGTCAACCTTAATCAGATTTTTATATTTATAGAAGGTTTCAGGATTACATTCTGGCTCATTTATAGCTCTTTTATCTTACAGCTATGTATTACAACATTATAAAGTTTATTGTTTTTGCTGGAAAACTTTTTTTAAGTATGCTATGAGATTTTCATGAACAAAAGAATGTCAATTTTTTTTATTTCATATAAAAACAGTTATTAAATGTCCTATTAAATTATCTATTAAATATTATAATTGCAATTAAATTGTCCTATTAACTTTTGTTTTAACTTATAAAAATTATATTTTATAACAAATAATGTTTGGTCTTAATTTATTATTTAATATATTTATACTAACTGAAAAATGAACACAATACTTGGCGTTTTACTTTGATTTTATTTTACTATTTAAAAATTAACTAGAATTTGAATACAAAAACAGAAATTTGAAATATATTTGCAAAACAATCAGAATATAAATAAAAACAATCATTTAAATTATGTTTAAATTCTGAAGTTTTCATGCAGCTTTGGTGAAATATCATAAACTAATTCCAAAATTCTCTTCACTACAGCACCTTTGTTCTCTTTCACCTGCCTCTCTATTAACATCAACTTTGAATTAGTATCTTCAGTGATTTGCTTTTGATAATCATCTTGACCAAACCGATTCTGTTGTGTTTCTTTGAATATAGTCTCGCGCTCATTACGAAACTGCTCAATTTCTGAAATTGCTTCTTCTTTAGCTTGTTTCAACCGTTTTGTTTTCCTTTTTCTAGCATCACCCACCAAATCTGCAGCCTTTTTCTCAGCTCCCAAAAGTTGTTGAATACCGTGGGATTTTTGAGCCATATTATTCTAAATGATTAACTTAAAAATTAAGTTCAGACTAAGGATACAACATTTAGTATAAATAATTACACATTTAATTTAAATCCTATACGTTTTTAATATTTCGAAAATCTTTTTTAACTTAACAATAGCAAAGTACTGTTTATTGCAGGTTCTCCAATTTATCCACTACATAGTGTTCAAAACTTATATATAACTTTATATTTTTACCAATAAAAAAAAGTCTTGTTTGAAAACATGAAAGCAGAAAAAATTTATTTTGAAACTGTGAAATACTATATAAAACTTAATAAACTTTACATATCAGTGATACAAAGAGTGTTTAAACTAAAAAGTATTCAAGATTATAAAATATATATATATATATTTTTTCTTGCTATAGGTACTCTAGTACACCTTATTCCTTTTCATCTTACTTACACATTGATATTTTTATTGTGCAAGTTACACAATAAAATCGATAAAAACTTACAAGTTACACAATATAATCGATTAAAAAAAATAAAAATAAACGTTTACAAAAACAATAAAAGGTTTTTAAAATGCTTCGAAACTACGACACCCAGAGTTGTGCCGAATGCTGTTTTAACATGGTTTAAACCTACATTTTAGTGTGACGTCATGTAAAGACATTTCTCTATTTTTTTTTTTTTTTTTGGGGGGGGGGGGTCATCTTTTGATTTTTTATAGTTTAACAAAATTTTCTTAATTAGCTTTTCATGCTGATTCTGAAAATCTTAATCATTTTTTTTTTTCATTTTAATCATTTAACTTTCTACTTCGATTTTAAAACAAGTGATTATTTTGAAAAAAAAAGCATTCTTAAATGAAATTATTATTATCATTAAATATAAGAAAAATAGAAAATAGAAATCTTTTTCTGTTTAATTTATCAATAATATACATTATAATTTATAAGTAACAAAAAAAAAAAAAAAATGAAGCATTACATATGAAAATTATTCATACAATTTGCTATTTTTACTAATAAAAATGGAAAATAACTATAAAAGTCATCATATGTGATAAACGATTGCTGCGGCAACTTTCCATGTAGAACATCTAGGTTATGAGCATGTTCTTCGGTAGACATACGATGAAGGTTGGTATTTTTATATCAACAATCATGTATTTAAACAGAATAGATCTCCTTATCTGCTTATAAAGCAAGCGCTGTAGCCACCGCGCCACGGCCGCACATTATTAGTTACAGTTTATTGATGCCCCATGAATATTGCTGCCCAGGACAAACAATCCTCTCTCCTTTTAGTTGCGCCTGATGAGATTATGCCTTATGAATTTTTTCTTTAATACAAATATTTTTTGAAATTATATATACCCTCATTGAAATCTTGCATAGCCTTCTTGATAGCTTGAATAACGATTAAAAATAAATTTAAAAACAGGAAATAAGGATATTTTGAAGCAATCTGTCTTTTTGATAACTTAAAACGCTTTGTTTAGAAAGAGACTTCAGATAAAACTTTTTTTTTTCTAAAACGCAACGAATAAAAATCAAATTCATCCAATTAAATAATTAATTAAGTTTGAAAGAAGAGTTGCGTAACTTTTTATGCAAAGAAACTTTTGCTTAATCTTTAAATTTTTAAAATAGAAGTAGAAGGTCAACCATAAAAAATTGGCAAAAACTGCATTGTTTTTTGAACTTTTTTCAAAAAACTAATTCAGAATAACTGTTTAAACAAGAAATACAGAATTTTGCCCCCCATCCCCTACTATTTTGTTAATCGATTAATAAATCGTCATCTATTAGGCTAGCGCAGATGTATTTTTAATACATTGTTTCCAGTTTAGGATGTTGAACGCTGGATCTTCTTGACTCGATTCATGGGTTTTGCTTGTGTCTCTGTTTTTATGACTAGGCAACTCATTCTATTATCTCCAAATGAGGGTACAGCTCTAAAACTCAGTTTTATGGTTCTGAGGTCGGCTGGTAGTCAGGTTTCCCGAACTCTGTGGTAGCTCTCAGAGAGGCTGATTCCATCAACAGCTGAAAAATATCAGAGTACTAACAGTGCCATGTTGCGCATGGATGGTGTCCCTGTTTGTACTTTTGGTGTGCATTGCCAAGGCCACATTGGAGCCCTTTGTTACGGCTTAGGGTTTATTAGTGGAAATGAGGCAATTGCTTGAGCTATAGAACAGTGTACTGAGTACTATCAATGTTTTGAGTCAAGTTCTTTAACAAATTTAAAAATGAATAAAGTAACAAAAACTATAAAACACAAAAAACCACAGTCATCACCAAGTTCGCTAAACCTATCATTCACCAATATTCGTGGTCTTCGAAGTAACTTTTCTTCTGTTGAGTCTTATCTCTTGCAAAGTTCACCAGACCTGCTTGCTCTTTGTGAGACTAATTTGAGTTCAGCTGTCTCATCTTGTGATCTTAGTGTTGATGGTTATCTTCCTTTAATTCGTAAAGACTCCAATAGTCACATGCTTGGCCTGGGCATTTACATTTGTAAGAATTCACCCATTTGTCGGGAAACTAGATTTGAATCCACAGACTACTCTTTTATGTGCTTTCGTTTAGCACCACTTCACTCTATCACCTTTCTCTTTGTTCTATATCGCTCTCCCTCATCCCAAGACTGCACTCTTTTTGATGTTATATCTGATTATATTGACCAAGCCCTCATTCTTTATCCATCAGCCAATATTATTGTTGTCGGTGACTTTAATGTTCATCACACTGAATGGCTTGGCTCTAGTGTCAGTGACTCTGCAGGCATTAAGGCCCACAACTTTTGTCTTTCTCAATCCCTAACTCAAATAGTCAACTTTCCAAATCGCTTTCCAGACAACCCGAATCATTTACCTTCTCTACTCGACTTATGTCTTGTTTCTGATCCTAGTCAGTGCTCAGTTTCTTCACACTCACCCTTAGGTGCGTCTGATCATGGTTTGGTCTCTCTAAAACTATTATCTCATTCTTCTTTACCATTACAATCCCCCTATCATCGTACATCTTACAACTACCTTAAAGCTGACTGGGACTCTTTTCGTGACTTTCTTCGTGATGGCCCCTGGGTAGAAATCTTTCGTCTCCCTGTTGACAAATGTGCTTCTTACATAACTTCGTGGATTCAGGCTGGTATGGAATCCTTTATTCCCTCTCGACGATTCCAGGTCAAGCCTCACTCTTCTCCATGGTTTTCTTCACATTGTGCTGCTGCTATTGTCAATCGAAACCATTACTTCCATATCTATCAGCAAAACAATTCTCCAGAAAACAGACGTCTCTTTATTACTGCTAAAAACCATTGTAAAAAGGTTTTGTCTAACGCCAAAACCCGCTATTCTCAGATCATGAAATCTCGAATTTCATCACAAAAATTAGGCTCTCGTGACTTCTGGAGAATCTTTAATAGTATCAATAATAAGGGCAAGTCTGTAATTCCACCTCTTTTGTACGGTTCAGACTTTGTCACCTCACCTAGCTGAATTGTTTGCCAAGAACTTTTCATCAATATCATCTCTTGATGCCACTAGTTGCGTTTTACCTGATATAGCCGTCAAACAGGTTGATTAATTGCTCGACATTCGTATCACTCCAGCTTCTGTATCTAAAGTGATTTCCCGCTTAGACTCTTCTACAGCTTGCGGCCCGGACAACATACCTGTTATAGTCTTGCAGAAGTGTTCTCCTGAGCTGTCGTCTATCTTTTCAAAACTATTCAACAAGTGCTTATCAGAGTCTTGTTTTCCAGCCTGCTGGAAAGCAGCATCTGTTATCCCTATTTTTAAAAATTCTGGAGAGCGATCTGACTCATCTAACTACCGTCCCATTAGTCTTCTTCCTATTATAAGCAAGGTTTTTGAATCTTTAATTAACAAACACTTAATCTCTCATCTCGAATCTCATAACCTACTTTCTGATCATCAGCATGGATTTCGATCTTCTCGTTCTGCGGCTGATTTGCTATCAGTAATAACCGATAGGTTTTATCGCGCATTAGATAAAGGTGGAGAGGTTAAGGCCATTGCTCTTGACATTTCTAAAGCGTTTGATAAAGTTTGGCATGCTGGTCTCCTCCATAAGCTTTCTTCTTATGGTGTATCTGGAAACATCTTTAAGATTATTAAATCCTTTCTTTCCAATCGTAGTATAAAAGTTGTCCTTGATGGACAGCACTCTTCTTTTTATTCTGTAGCCTCAGGGGTTCCCTAAGGTTTAATCCTTGGCCCTATACTCTTTTTAATTTACATAAACGATCTTCCAGATATTCTCACATCTAAGGTGGCATTGTTCGCTGATGATACTACCATTTATTCTTGTCACGATAAGAAGCCAATTCCCTCTGATTGCTTGCAGGGGACATCTGAGCATGAAAAGGGTCTCACTTCTGCTACAGCATGGGGCTCGCAGTGGCTGGTGAACTTTAATTCAGATAAAACTCAATTTTTTTCGGCCAATCGTTATCGCAATAATTTAGACCTTCCTATATTTATGAACGGTAATGTACTCGATGAGTCTCCTACCCTTCGTCTTCTAGGATTAACTCTTACTTCTGATCTTTCTTGGAAACCTTATATCAAATCCGTTGCAAAATTAGCATCTGCTAAAGTTGCTTCTCTTTATTGAGCTCGTCACTTTCTTACTCTGGATTCTATTCTCTATCTCTATAAATCTCAAATCCGGCCTTGTATGGAATACTGTTGCCATATCTGGCAATGTTGGCGGATCTTCTAATGATGCTCTTTCTCTTTTAGACAAGGAGCAAAAACGCATTGTAAACATAGTTGGACCTGCTCTTGCAGCCAACCTTCAACCTCTGTCACATCGTCGTAATGTTGCTTCTCTTTCTCTTTTCTACAAATACTATAATGGGCACTGCTCTAAAGAGCTAGCGTCTCTTGTGCCATCTACTAAAATTCATTCTCGTGTTACTCGTCATTCAATTAAGTCTCATCCTTTTTCTGTTACTGTTCCTAAGTGCTCCAAAAACTCTTATTCGTCTAGTTTTTTTCCTCGAACATCAGTTCTTTGGAATTCGCTTCCTTCATCTTGCTTTC